GCTCTTCGGCCGCGGGCAGGGCAGGGCAGGGCAGGGACGCGCTTCAGCGGTAAGCGCCTGAATGACTCTCACGGGCAGGTGGGGTAAAACCTGCTGGAAGGTGATGCTTCTTCCTACACTCGCCTGGCTAGGAGGTGATTTACTGCCTGTAACAAGCTTGGTGATAGTCCTGTGAGAAATATGTATTGACAGGAGGTGGGAGTTAAGTTACCTTATTTGTCTTGCTGTCCTGCTCAGCTATGCATTCATGCTTTTAATCCTTATTGCAGACAACCGCTCCTGCAAGATCACTTGAATCTGTAGGAAGGAGTCTCAGAGGCTACCGGGACTGGGCTGTATGAAAACTCTCAAAGGAAATGCCAGCTGGGATTGCTCGGGGTCTGGAGGAAACTGGCTCATCCTTACAGCAGGAGGAGGAGGAGGAAGAAGATGTCATAAATGAGTTGGAGTAAGTAGGAAAAAAAACCTGCTTGTTTCTATCTTCCTGTGCTTCCTGCAGGATTTGTACCAATCTGAAAAGACAGTTAGTTACATTCCTTATCCTCGTATCTATAAAGTAGAAGATAGACAGTTTGGGCCTAAAGTCTGTGGGCAGGCTACTTATGTTTGTAGCCTAAAGGACCACCATATTTGTCTATTCATCAGGGTTAAAGGTGTGGCTCTTCCTTGGCTACTCTAAAGTCTGGTAGTTTCATTGATGTCATCTTGTCGTATTCCTAAGATGGGAACTTTCTTGGTGATGTTAAGAAAATGAAGGAAATAAATGACCTTTTTTTGTTTGTTTGTTTTGCTTTGTTTTAGTTTTTACTTTCTACTGTAGACTGATATGTGATGTTTTGTGTCCTTTTTTAAAAATGTCTTATGAGAAATCAACTGCTGGAGTTCTTATTACTTTTTAGTGGTTTTGTTCCTTCTTAGTTTAGTAACTTCTTTTGTCTTTGCTTATTCTTTCCCAGAGTGGAATTCCTTTTCTCTTTTAGCTGGTCCTACTTTCATATGTCCTGTTTGCTTTCTTTTGAGTGCATACTGTTACTGAGTGCTCAGTTGCAAACTGCAATGACTTAAGGCATTTAGAGGAATGTTGTTTCATACCAAGTAGTAGGTTCAGACTTGCCAGACCCTCATGGATGGAGAGGTCCAGAACTGACTTACTCTAGAATGTAACTGCAACAGTGTGTATGCATCAAGTGACAAAGGGTCATGCTAGGAATGAATGACTGTCACCTGGAGGATTGAGCCTTACTGCAAATCCTCAGGACAGGCTTAACATAAACTCCTCTCTTGATGCTTCAGCTCATTTCCAACTTATATAAGGCTCTGGCCTGTACTGTAAATTCTGGAAGCTGCTTGGGTCCCTTCCAGCCTAAACAGCCAATTAAGCTGCTGTAGTAGATTTTTCTACTTTATTTTGGTTTTTCTTTAGAGGTGGTGAAAGCAGATGGGGGTGCTGTGAAGTTAATCTGTCTGGGTGATAATGGTAATAATTGGTTAGGATGACCAAGGTTGCACCTAAGAGTACTTACTTGTCCTAGCATCAGAAAGTTGCCCTTTTATATCTGTTCCTGTGTTGAAAGTGTAGGAAGTGTTTTGTCTTTTGTAGTGTCTCCAAACCTTTGGCAGTGATTTTGCACTTCTTATAGATAAATGCTACTATGTATCTCTGCCAGTCTTTATTTCTTCTTGTCTGTGTAGATACTGATGTGAGTAATAAGCAATCAGTTTTATTTGCTTAGGGAGGTTGACAGGTTTTCTTTCTGTGACCTTAGTATTTTATGCAACAGATTATAAGTGAGGTTTTTTGTGTGTCCTTAATTTCTCTGAGGAGATGATAATTCCCAATGTAGTCTTGTTGTTTTGGACAGGACTGATCACTGTATTTCAGAATCTGTAGTGGCTAGCTGGGGGTGTTGGTGTTGAATTCTAAGCTTGCATTCTACTGCATCTAGCAGAAAATAAGAAGGAAGAACACACAGTTCATCCCTCGTTCTAGTCTCTCAAACTCCACATAAGTGCCTTTTCATGTGCTTTAGAGTCCAGGATTACACCAGGGAGCATGCACTGATTTGCAGCTCTTAAATTGGAGACTGGAACCTGCATTGTAAGGTCTGGTTGTGGATACCAGCAATTATGGCTTACCCTGAATTATAGATCCTATTTTCAGGCTACAAATCCAAAGAACTGTAGCTGTGAAAACTCACAGGGTTTCTCCCAAATTATACTCAGTAAAATAAATACAAATTAAACAGTACTCTGACTTAGACTGGCAAGACTAACCCAAAAGAAGGAAGATTGTCTTTATAGCTGAGTACCAAGGGTGCCTAGCGTGTGCATGGGAGTCGGCACAGTCAGGGTGCAGGAACAACTACAAAGCCATGGCTGAAATGCAGAGTAAGTTTATTTTCATTACCTCACCAACTGGGGAACCCTGAAGCAGCACCCAGGCAGAGGCATACAAGTGGGGATGCAGGCACCACAGAGCTCAGTTCTTGCTAGATGATCTCTGAACCTGCTGTTTGTGCCTGTTTTTCAGGGATTTGCACAGATGTAGTTTTTACCACTGATCTTTCCCGCAGCAAGGCAGGAATCTCAACCACATTTGATAAGGTGCCTTTATCACAGGCCTGTGTTATCTGAACACAAATGTTCTACTTGTCAAACAGACAAGAATTAGGATGGTATAGGTATTTTTCACACCCCAGCTGCAAGTCACTTAAGCATGCTTACAATCCTCCTCACCAATCTGCCATTATTTTCATACAGTGTGTTTGCCTGTGTCCTGCCCGCAGGCTAGGTGGGCAAGCATGGGCAGGTATGGAGAACTGCTGTGTCCTCATTGTAAGTAACTACTGTGTGTGAGACTCAGCAATTGCTTATACTGCCTGTCTTGCTGTTTCAGAGATCATCCATGTATCAAGTGGACTGGTGGTGGCTGCAGGCGGATCCCCATCTTGGTGTTTCATGCAGAAGCCATTCTGACCAATGACAACTACCTCCGCCTGATTGGAGGTAGGTGCCACTATGTGCCAGCTGTTGGCCTGAAGGCATGAGGTGGAAGTCTCTTACCTTGATATTTGCTTCTCATTGTGGTGGAGAAGAGGACATGGTAGGAAGGAAATGACAATCCTCTCTTGTCTTTGAGCACTGAGGCGGTCAGCAACACTTGGCCAGCTGGTGTCATGTCTTTGGTTTTTGTGACAAGTGTCTGTATTTGCTCCTCCATTGCATCCTGATGTGTTTTGAGTTGGAACTGCTTGCTTGCAGTTTGAACTTGAAGGCCATGCTAGAATTGATGACCAGAATATAAATTTACTACTCTGTAGCAAAGAACTTAAATCAGTCGCTGCAGTGAGTTCTGAGCAGTTTTTACTGGGATATGAAGCAGCCAGCCCCACAGTAGTAAGCTGTGGTAACAAATCTCTGCATCTACAGCCTCACAACTGTGGGTAAGGCTATAAGCAAAATGATTGCTGCTCTGGCAGCATTTGAGTCAGGAGACCAAACCCATCTAGTGTCAAATAAGGGAGAGCCTCTAAGAGAGAGTTATAAACAGTCACTCTGGATTGTGAGAGTTAGTACTTTGCGGGTGTGTACAGCTGGGAGCTCATTCTGGATGTGCTGAGTTGGAGACAAGCTTAAATCTGCTCAGCTTCTTTTTGTGAAGATGATGACACTTCTTTTCTTCTCGTGCTTCTCCCTTTCTTAGGTAATTGGTGCCCTCATTTCTAATATCCTATTCAAGCAGAAATGCTTCTGCTTGTTGGAGTAAGGGGTGGAGAAGGTGATTTGTGTGTGGAAACCCCTGATCCTTTTGATGTGAATTAAATACATACTTGAATGGTGGCAGAAAAGCTGATGGTAATTGTAACTGGTATCTTAACTGGAGTGCAATGTGTCTGATTTTTCTCAGGAGGTACAGGCTTTTTGTGGCTTAAGTCTGCTACTGAATAGTGCAACTTGTTAAATTCCCTTGAGCTTTGCCCAATCCCAGATTATGCTACTTCTTACTCTTTTCTTCTTTAGTCTTATTTTTATTGGTAGAACATATTTCCTGAGGTTTAATTTAAGATTAATTTTTCTATTCTCAGTTTGAACCAATTTAAAGTGTCTTCTCCAAGTGATTCTAGCACTGCAATTTCTGCCTCTATTTTCTTTGAACTGTTTTACAGGTTGCCACATCTTTTTATAGGGCACCTGGCCTCTGATCTTGCTGCTTGCTTTCTGTTAATTTTCCATCTCCAGTCCTGCTTACTGCTTTTGTTTTTATGACCTTCCACTTGGATAGTGATTTTCCTCTTTTTTTCTTTCTGTGTCCTGTTTACTTTATTTCCTGCTATTTTTTGTAGTTTGTTTATTGGAAGATCAGTACAGGTGAATGAGAGATGAACAAAAATTCAGTGTTTTATTTTGGGTTTTCAAGATCTAAAAGTGATCATATAGCTAGCCATGTCAGTGAGGGGCATGTGGGATGATTACTTTTAGCTAGGAATACAAAACTGGAATAGAGAATAAAGAGCTGAAATCGTGTTTAGAATGTTATAAATCAGTCTTTATAAAGAGCTGTTTAAAACAAACCCAAGCTGGGCATTTGTTAGAATGTCCTGTATTTTATTTTTAATAATGATCAAGTTTAGTGATTCAGCAATATTATAGCTAAGGATTGATGTAAGTCAGTTCAATGCATTGTTTGATTTAGTGCCCCAAGAGATGGACAGGCATTTCCTACCACCCTTTGTCTGTTATGTGTTGTTACAGCGTGGATGCGCCACTGCAGATTAAGTGCAGCTGTACTGAGTCAGAGAATCATAGAACAGTTAGGGTTGGAAAGGACCTTACGATCATCTAGTTCCAACCCCCCTGCCATGAGCAGGGAAGCCTCATGCTAGACTTAAGGCTCTGTCCAACCTGGCCTTGAATACTGCCAGGGATGGAGCATTCACCACTTCTCTGGGCAACCTGTTTCTCTTCTCTCCTTTTTGGTAGCATAGGCAACTTTAGTATATTATTCTAGGTGCAGACACTAGTATTGTGTCTCTTGCCCTCCTAACAGAGCGCTACCACTTGTCCTATAAGATTGTGCAAGCAGATGGCCGTCTGGTTCGAAGCATTCTGACTGCCCATGGATTCCATGAGGTGAGTGCAATGAACTTTAGCTCTGATTAGAGTATTAGAAGTTATGTTGGTCTGCCAGTCAGACAGGCAACATATTGTGATTTGGTTTCTTAAGGGAGTACCTTTTAGCCTTAAGCCTGCAAAATTGGGGGGAAAAGAGATGCTGAAGTTGGGTCATGTGTTTTGTTTTTTTTTTCTCTTCTTGCTTTTAAAGCATCATCTCACACCCTTGGAAAGATCTACAGGATCTAATCTTTCAGCTTTTGCAAGCTCACAGAAGCATTGGTCTAGTGTTTTGTATTTCTCTTCTAGCACCTGTCTTGCTTTAAAGAATGTCCCACTTCAGCTAATGACAATTTGAGAGATGTGTATATATGGTGGATTTTCTTCTGAATAACACCAAGTTAAGGCATTGGTCTCACAAGTTTCCTGAAGAAATCTAAAATACTTTAGAAGTTGTGTTTGAACACTCTGTAAACAGAACAAACCCACAAGTTTGTTTAGAAAAATGACATGGTTATTTCCCAGCATTACTGGACAGGGGTCTGACTAGAGTTGCCCTAATATTGGAGATGGATAGAGGAGATTTGTCTTAAACAAGAATGGCTTTGGTCATAGACATAAGGTCTATAAGGTATATAGAACAAGTGGTGGTGCTTTTCATCAGTTCTATGTTCCTATGTGTGTGGTGTTTTTTTTTTGTCGCTTTTTAGGCACAACCTGGTAGCAGTGATTACAATCTCATGTGGACAGGATCACACTTGAAGACTTACTTGCTGCGTTCTCTTACAGATATTCAGAAAGTTAATCACTTCCCTAGGTAAGGCCTTGATATCTTGTTTTGCTGAACACCTTTGTGATGATTTGCAAAAATCTGAATATAGACATCTCTAAAGAAAAAAGAAAGCATATACATATTACCATAAAGTCCCAACACAGTGGGCCTGTACCGCATGCTGTCTTCATTCTAAATGGTCTTTTTGGAGAGATAATATATGAGTTGAAGTGCCTGCCTTCAGCCCGAATACTGGATTTGGTTTTTGGGTTTTTTTTGGTTGTTTTTTTATGCTTGCTTGCTGGTTTGTTTTTTCTATATTTGGTGGTATAAGTATTTTGGGCTTTGGGTTCTTAGTTATGGAGATAGTCATATGTCACCTGCTAAAGTTTACAAACACTGTTATAACAGTTTTGCTGTGCTTCAGTCTGTCTTGGGAATGCATATTAATATGGCCATGGAACAGAGACAATAAAACTGAGGAGTAGTTGCAGGTTAGGGTTTAAACATCTGACAGGGCTACAAATGCTTTAGTAACTAGGCCGAAAGGTTGCTGTAATGTGTGTGGGGTTGTTTTTTAATGTGTGTTGGGGAAATACAGTCTCTTGTTTTGGGACTTCAGGTCATATGAACTGACACGGAAAGACAGACTGTACAAGAATGTCAGTCGTATGCAGCTGGCCCATGGATTCAAAACATTCCATATCTTACCTCAGACCTTTATGCTCCCAGCAGAGTACCAGAACTTCTGCAGTAAGTGAATGCCTGACCTAAGGCAAAATAAATGGGTGGGATAAAGGGAATTTATTTTTAATATCCTAGCCTGTTGAGTGTGCCAGTGGTTAAAGCAACAAAATTAGAGGAAGCTGGAAAGACAGTGGAAAAGGCCCACAATTTCTTTGTATAATTTCTACTCTGCTGCTTTCTTCATGCCTGCGTAAGTCCTCAAGAAGCTGATGTGGGCTTCAGGGTCCAGAATTGAGCCTTTTCTTATGCGCAGTGTTGTTGATGATCAACTTCACAATAACCCTAATATGTGGCAGTACTGAAGAGAGAAGTGCCAAAAGGAGGTATAGAGCAGAAAAATTGATCTATTGGTGCGGCAGGAGGGACTTTAGGGAGGGGCAGTAATAATTGCAGTGAATCCCAGGAGGTAAAATAGGACATCAAAAAAGTAGACTTTGATCTCCTCATGGAGTTTTCTGAAGCTTTTACTGTAGGCGACATTCTTGATTCTTGCTTCTCTGTAAGTAAAATGGAGAATGTTTCAGACTTGTTCTGTTTTCTTTTAACCAGGTACTTATTCTAAGGATAGAGGTCCATGGATAGTGAAGCCTGTGGCCTCTTCCAGGGGTCGAGGTGTCTACCTGATAAACAATGTAAGTGTTCAGCAAAAGGGCCATTCCTTAGTAAAATTGTCTGCAGAACTATGCCAGCTTCCAGGCAAGGGGCATGGAAACATCTAACCAGACACTGGCCCTGCTCTAGATTTCGCCTCATATATTGGTGAGCAGCAGCTGGCAAAGACCTCCTGGATCTATGTTGTGTAACCAAATACAATCTATTTCTTTGTATTCTGTTGTTATCATGCAACCCACTTTCAAGTCTTAGCTTATTAAGAACAAGATCACGCTTCCCGGGACAGTTTTTTGGGAAGCTGTGCTTCTTCATGTTCTCCTTGTGGCTGACTTTGAGAAGATTCCCAGAATTCTTCTTAGTTGTTTCCCTATGTGACCTAAACAGTCTCCTTGCCTCCCTCTTTTTCCTGGAAAAGACCAGATAAAAATGAAACCTAAAAGTGAAATATTTGTATCAGTCTAGCTTAGAGCTGTGTGCCCTTACTGAGGTGTAATGGAAGTAGTTGTTTGAATTCAGTGTGCTGGTTATAGTGTCTTTTGCCCTTTTTAGGCTTTCCAGGGAGTTAGGTTATCATAGGTAACGTATACATCTGGGCAGGAGCCAAACGCATGAGGGGTTTCCAATAAATATTCTCAGCAGCCAAACTGACTAGTGAGTCATTTTGTTTTCACTCACTCAAACCCCTTTAGCCTTCCCTATCCTGAAGGGGTCATGCTGCCTCATCTGTTCCCTACTTGGATCATTTCCCATAAAATAGGGGAGCAATTCGCCAAGTGCATGAGGTAAGTATTTCCAGAGCTGTGCTCAGCTTTTTCTTTGCTTGAAAGAGAGGAACGAGCTCAGGCTTACATGGCAGTCGGCCATGGACTGCCAAAAAGACACTTCTGGGACCAATCTCCCTTTGTGTATATCTGTTCCAGAAACACTTCAGCTAGTTTGGCCCAATGAGTTATATCTCCTTCAGTGTGATGCCATTAAGGGAGCGTTTTCTAGAATCTCATCACAAAAGTGTTTAAAACAACAAAAAACCTCCAACAAAATAGCAAAGCTTTGAATTTCTCTGATCCATAATAAATTAGTCTGTCACTGTTGTGTGATGTGCTGAGGGAAGTTGAACTTTTTCCCCTCATGTTGTATATGTGCGCTCTATGTGTCTAGGCTTCCTGCTCATGTTGGGGTGAACACCAGCTCCTGCTGGTGATGGGATGAACACATGCAAAACTGGATAAAGGCAGGATGATGGGGTTTGCTTCCTTGCTTTCAGCTTGCAGAAGAGCCACGTGTTTTGCAAGAAACTGTGTGTATGAGTAGTTAAAACTGGTTGCAAGAGAGAGTCTTGCAAACAGTGAAAAGTAAAAGCTTTTTTCAACAAATCCCATGACTTTGCGATGTAATTTCATAGATAGAGCTTTCTGTTCTAACAAGGGTAGCATCTTCCTGGTACCATTAGCTTCTGTTGTGAACTGAACCTCAGAAGAAGGTATTTACTCATGTAGGCAAAAAGATTGGATACCAGCACAGGATCTAGCTGTCAAGATCACAAGTTAGAGTAATTTTTTTTACATGTGATTGCTCACCAACTATATCCGTCCAGTGTCTTTTAAACCCCTCTGCCATATTTCTGGTTAAATGCTTGAGAAGCAAACTGAATGACAGTCACTTCTTAGATGTGTGTGTTTTCCTGCCTATTTTACATCAATGCCTTGTGGCTGTTAAATCTGTATTCTACTCTAAGGCACACAGAACTGGAAGATTCAATGGCAATTTTTTTTTTTTCCTTTTTTCCCCAGCAATGTAATCATTCCCAGGCTTCTGGTTTGGATCTAATTACAAGTATGTTGTGACTGCCGATGGCGTGTGTTCATTTTGATTTTTGGCTCTTCCCCTCTTGGACATAGTTGTTGACACAGAGTGGCTTTAGGAGGGAAAGGCTGGAAAAAATGGTGGTTTTGATGTAGTTGACTTATTCCTTAAGCCTCCTGTTTTTTCACTCTTGTATTCTCTGTTCTTCTGCAGCCAAACCAGATTGTCCTGGAAGACAACATCCTGGTTTCTCGTTACATCAGCAACCCCTTGCTCATAGATGGTGAGTATGCTTAGGAATTGCTTTTCTCTCTTCCCCCAACCCCACACATGAGGATCTCTGCAACCTTTGCAGGAATTTGGTTGAATAATTGAGTGTTCTATCTTTCTCTGGTACTAAAAAAATTTAACTAGAAAATTCCTTAAAATCTAGGAGCTTTTCAACTGGGAAAACTTTGGGCATTTATGTCAGTAGCAGATAATGGTTTATTGCTCTCAGAGTCTGCCAAAATTCCTCATCTGGATACGATATCTGAAAGATATTTAACAGTCACTGACTTTTGACAACTGTATTTCAGATTTCAAGTTTGATGTGCGCCTCTATGTTCTGGTTACATCCTATGATCCACTTGTCATCTATCTCTATGAGGAAGGATTGGCCAGGTAGGGGAGATTTCTTCTTTCTCTGTGATCCAGAGATGGTTTTGTTTGCCTCTATAATCTAGACACAATAGCAAATGAGGGAAGTGCCAGTTAAGGAGTTCTGCAAAATTTAAATATATGATACCTCATGATGCTGTGTCCCATAATTTTTCTTTATATAGATTATAGGATCTTTAAGTGAGGGAATTTATTACATATGTCACAACTAAAGCAAGTTTTCAACTCCTAAATGTTGAACGGCCACACACACAATGATTGGTGTTTCACTTTCAAGGTTGGGTTCTTCTTGAAACCTCTTTGGACTCTTGGTGTCTATGTGCCAATTCGCCATCCTCCCAGGTATAGGGAATCTAAACTTTCTCAATTCCTTCTTAATCCTAAAGACAAAAGCAGTTGGAGACCTGTTGTTTGTATTTGCTTTTGTTTTACTACTTTCAATTGTTTTTCTAAGTTTTAGGTCAGTGTTTGTATTTTCTACAGTATTGAGTACATGGGTTTAGACTAGTCACTGTTCTTAACTTGGTAAGATGGCAATTTTCTTTTGCATATAAGTCATGAAAGATACTTAAGATTCCCAGGAGGAACACTTACCAAAATAAACACTTTTAACTAAATACCTGTGTATAGTAACTAATACATTTGAAATTATCACCCCTCTGAATTTCCAACAGATCAGAAATTTAACTGTAGTAGTGTTTGAGAAGAGATCATCATAGAACTGTCTGCGATAGTTTTAAGCAACACTGAATATTATAAGCACATCTGATGTACCAAGAAAGAATATCTCTAGGGTTCAAGCCTACATGGCTCTGACTTAGGCAGATACTAAATCCAAGTTACTTTTATCTGAAGTGGATACTGGATCCAAAAGGATATATTAATAATGATCCCAGAAGAAATACCCTTCTTTAAATTAATAGGTGGATCCCCTTCAGCTGTGTTGTGCCATGCCCCTGTGTGCAAAGGCAATGTGAACAGATTGTTCCCCTAAAGAGAGACAGGAAGGGGTAGCTCATGTTGGTCAGTGGAAAACTTAACAACTATATTCACTTTAGAAAAGGAGCCTTAAATGTGCCTGGCATGTAAGACTTTCTCTTGGGAATCAGCAATTAAATTGTTGCTAATATTGCATGTTATTGGCAAGTGAAGAGGGAAGCAAGATCATTGATTGAATATATGAGTAGATTGCCACGATGTTCTGAAAATGGGGAGTGCATAGCAGGCCTCCCAAATAAAATTTGCACCATTCTTTATCTTAAAGATAGTTCTGCTGATCCTCTTGTAACAGAGTTTACTTCTGGAAAAATCCATCTTTGTAAGAGGCAAATGTTCTACCCTGGGGGCAAGTCTGCCAAGTCTATGATAGATAGCATTTTTGTCTCTGACAGGAGAGTAATATGTTTTGCTTGAGAATCCAGTGGCTCCAGGATCTTTACCTCTCAACAACTGAATTTGCATGTTCCAAGTAGAAGAGGACTGTTTTGTAAAGTTTGTGATCTCTGCCAGAAAAGGAGTGCTATTGGGAAACCATAAGATGTAATGATCTTTAAAAGGAAAAGACTTTGTATAAAACACAGTCATGATTACTTCCTTGGGCCTTGTTTCTTTTTGCACAGTTAGGCTTGTCATGATGTCATGCAGAGTGGACAAAGGAAGAGCCATGGATGGCATGGCTCAAGACCTGAGCACTCAAATGGCCCCTGTAAAATCACTTTTCAGTTGACTGCTTTCAAGTGATAGGTAGAAACTTATTGCAACCAAATAAGTTTTCTTTCTGGGTTTCCATCTAAAAGCATTGTTCTTAACATTTCTGGACTCTCCATCTTGGTAAGATCCCATGTGGCAGTAGTACTTACAAATCACTTTTCAGTGTTCTAAAATCCTTAACTCTTAAATGTGTTTAGATTCCATTTTTTTTAAACTATAATCAAAGCTGGAGTATGTGTTGTCCACATACATGACAAGTAGAACATACGTTCAGGACACCACAGTATTACAACTAGTATTTCCTTCAAATTGCATCCCATCTTACATCTCTCTCTGCGTGGTAGCTAGTATATACAGACTAAATGTGACAGTTGGTATCTTAATGCTGCTCTGTGATATAGTGAGCTCTACCAGTATGACTGTGGGACTGGTGCAGAGGGAATAATGGTCCAAGGACTCTGGAGGGTAGCTATAGTTCTGTTACTGAACTTCAACTGCCTACTAGGCAATTTCAGCTGTAGTGTCAGCTATGGCTGAAGGCTTGTAGCAAAATTTATAGTTGAATGCTTTCAGATGAAAGGTATAAACTTATCCCAACCATATCTTTAATTACTCTTAAGCTTTTCCGTTCTTCTATGGCTGTAGAATTGGTATGTTTGTGCAATATGTGCTGGCAAGCTCTCATTGCTCATGCTTGAGAGGTTGCCAGAAAACTTTAGGTGTGCTGCTCTGTATGGCCTCCAGATGGCACTAGTGGTCCTTAGTTTTAGCGGTTTGGACTTTCCCATACAGTGTATACTGTGAATTTGCAAATTTGTATGGTGAGAGTTAAGGAATGTGGAGCTACTGGACTGGCTTCCTATTTAGCTTTTCTGCTTTCCATTTAACAATTTAGGTTAAGTGCTGTGAGAGACCCTTTTATTGCCTCACACAGTGTGATGCTTGGTTTAAAGCTACGCCAAAATTTTAGCTGTGCAGGGAGGGGGGAATACTTAATGACTGTGTGTGAAGCTGTTCTTTTTTAACTTAAGAAAAAAACCTAAAAAACACACTGCTTAAAAGTGGAAGAGAATTTGGAGGTAAGATCAGGACCTGTAATTAGTGGTAATATTGAAGCAATCTAAGGGGAAACCCACCAGCAGAAAAGAAGAATCTTTTTTTCAGGACCTCCGGTAGTGCTGTGGTGCACTGTGGTGACTTCCATGTTTTGAGTTTGCCTTTTGAAGGTAGGTAGTCTCTGAAGTATAGTCAGGGTGACCTTCTGGGTTGTTCTCTTAAGTTTCTTTTCCCCTTTTTCTTGGTCTGGCTGAAAGGTTATGTTCCTCTCCAGTGTTATGCTTTGCATATTACAAGTAGAAGAGGAACCTAACTATTTCAGTGAAGTTGATGACCTCTGCCACAAGAGGAGTGATATTGAGAAACCATTAGATGTAACAATCTTTAAAAGGAACAGATTTTGTTTAACACAAAATGTTAATGTTTGATTAGATACTTCCTTAGGCCTGGCTTCTCTTGGCACAGCTAGACTTATCATTATACGATCTAGAGCAGAAATAGAGGCTTCAGTGCTGAGGAGAAGAAAGAGGTTATGGATCCAGTATGTGTAACTTGTGTCTCACTTTCCACACGAAAGACTGAGGAAAAAGTTTCCTTTGAAGGATCCCTTAAAAGAAGATTGAGTATAACTTAGGCAGTGCTGATGCTGAATAGGTTCCTTTTGTAGCCATTTCCACCTGGAATAAGCTGTATTTAGTAGAGATGAAGTCTTAAGTCAGTAGAGTCAGGTATCAGGCTTCTGTAGAGTTACTAGGAATAGTATCAGTGAATGTGCTCTATATTATAATCTTTCATTACAATACTACTTTTCTGGTATTGCCTCCCTCAACTCTATCAAACTTTCTCTTGCATATTTTGGACCTGGTCCACCTTTAGAAGGAATGCTAGTAAGTGATTCATTTGGGGGTATTCAGTGATCTGTTTGGAGGGAGTGGGGTGGTTGGTTTTGCTTTTTGTTTTTTTTCCATCCTTGAGGCTTGAAATAAGATTGCTTTATGCTTTAAGCACAGCTTCAATACTAGGTCACTTAAGATCCTTGTCTGTTGGATTAAAAAATGTGGTGTTGAACAGTTCTCTAGTACATACTTAAAAAGCAGACAAAGTGTGCTGCTGTACATCTGTTAAATTGTCAGGTATTTCATAATCTGGAGCTGGAAAGGACAATTACTGTATAGATTGGCCTTCTGTGATTCACAGCCTGGACAAATGTAGCTGGGACTTTTGCATCAAACATATAGGTTTGGAGAATGCGATGGTCTTGGAAAGCTTGGTCCAGGGTAATTGCAATCCAAGAGTACAGCATAGGCTGGGATCTGCTTGGCTGGAGAACAGCTCTGTGGACAGGGAGCTGGGTGTCATGGTGGACAACAAGCTCTATATGAGCGAACAGTGTGCAACTGTAGCACAAAAAGACAACAGGATGCTGGGTTACATCAACAAGGGCATCAACAGTAGAGATAAAGGTGGCATTATCCCACTCAGTACTTGTCAGGCTACATCTGGAATACTGTGTTCAGTTTTTGTCCCCACTATGCAAAAAAGATGTGAACAGGCTGGAGAGGATCCAGAGAAAAGCCACAAAGATGGTCAAAGGACTGGGAAGCCTGCCACGTGAGGAAAGGGTGAGAGAGCTGGGTTTGTTCAGTCTTGAGAAAAGAAGGATCAGGGGAGACGTCATGTCACCATGTTCAGTATTTAAAGGGTGGCTACAAAGAGATGGAGACTCTGTTCTTACAAGGAGTCACATGTGAAAGACAAGGGGGCAATAGGCACAAATTATTCCTGGGGAGATTCTGATTGGACAAGAGGAGGAAAATTTTTCACAGTGAGAACTATCAGTCCTGAGGGAACTGACAGATGAAGTTTCCAAGCCATTATCCATCATATTTGAGAAGGCACAGCAGTCTGGTGAAGTTCCTACTGACTGGAAAAGGGGAAATGTAAGTCCCATTTTTAAAAAGGAAAACCTGAGAAGCTGTGGGCCAGTCAGTCTTACCTTGGTGCCCAGCAAGACTGTGGAGCAGATCCTCCTGGAAACTGTGCTAAGGCACATGGAAAATGAGGAGGTGGTTGGTGATGGTCAGCATAGCTTCAGTAGGGGCAAATTGTGCCTGGCAAACGTGGTGGCCTTCTACAACAGGGTGGCAGCATTGGTGGATAAGGGAAGAGTGACTGATGTCATGTACCTGGACTTGAGCAAAGCATTTGGCACTGTCCTGCATGACATCCTTGTCTGT